TTCTAGGAAGGGAATAGGTACAACTACAGGAGAAATTTGTGATCTGGGGATGTGTTCCCAAAGGGGTATCCTACATTTCATGGATGGATCTCCTTGTCTAGGGGAAAAGAACTCACAGTTTTAGTGAAGATACCCACCAACAAATAGTCACTATTGCAACTAAGTAAGAGAGTATAAAATGTTAAATGTTAGGGCATAAAGGCACAAACAGAAACTTGTGTTTGGGACAGCTGGGAAAATTTTGTAGGCAGAAGGGCATCTGAGGTGGTTTTGAAAGACCCAGATAAGAGAAAGTGAATGACTGGTGGGCCAATGGCTCACCATGATTGGAAGTTGGATAGATTGAGAAGACTGGGAGATGGCATGGAAGAGTGATGGAATGAGTAGAAAGATGTCAGCTGTCAAATAGGCCTTGGGCTTGATATACAGAACAAGCGGGTAAAAAGGTCATTAGGAATGGTTAGAGGATGTAGTTTCCTTACTTGAGCTGTGCTCCCTGCCATCTTCTTCCCCTTTCAGTGGGGTTTGAACCCAGGGCTTTATGTTTGCAGCAAGGCAGGCACTCTACAGCTTGAATCACACTTCCAGCCCTTTTTGCTGTGGTTATTTTTAGGTGATACTGCAGTTGGAACTCAGGGCCTCATGCTTATGAGGCAGGCACTTTACCATTTAAGCCACTCTGCCAGCCCTTTTGTGTATTGGGTATTTTCGAGATAGGGCCTCTTAAACTATTTGCCCAGGATGGCTTCCACCTGTGATCTTCCTGCTCTCTGCCTCTGGAGTAGGTAGGGTTACAGGCATGAGCCACTGGTGCCTGGCTGCTTTGGTTATTTCTGAGACAGGGTCTTGCTTTTTGTCCAGGGTGGCCTGGACTGAAAACCTACATTTTTATGTTTCCCACTGTCACTGGGTTGACAGCACCCACTACACCACCAAGCCCAGCTTTTCTTCATTGACATGGGGTCTCAAACTCCCTGGCTGGATAGGTCTAGAACCATGGTCTTTGATTTCAGCCTTCCATGTAGTTGGGATGACAGATTTACTGCCCCTCCATGCTGTTGGTTGAAATGGTGTTTTGCTAACTCTTTTCCTGAGCTGGACTTGAACTACAGCCTCCCGATCTTAGTCTCCCAAGTAGCTAGGATTACAGGTGTGAGCTACTGGTGCCTGGCTTGTATTTTGTTTTTGAGATAGGATTTTGCTAGCTTTGGCTGGGTTGACCTTGAACTGCAGCTCCATCTGTCTGAGCCTCCTGAGTGCTGGGATTACAGGCATGTAACTACTACTCCTGACTCCTGATTTCTTTTTTCCTCCTGATTATTTTTAAAAACAGCTTTATTGTCTTTATAGGCAATTGTAAACTGCATGAAGAGGAGGAGGGAGATAAAGGAAAATTATGGAGAGGGTGAATTCAACTAAGATATAATGTAAGCCCTTTTGTAAATGTCACAATGTACCTCCAGTACAATAGTATGCTAGTAAAAATAAAAAATAAATTACATGAAGAGAATTACTTTTTCTTTGTGACTGAGTCTACTAATGTTTGTAATAACTATTAGGCCTCTGCTTTTTTTCTCATTATTTTAATTAACCAGAAAGTAGATATTATGGCCAGACGCTGGTGGCTTACGCTTGTAACCCTAGCTACTCAGGAGGCAGAGAGCAGCCTGGGCAAATAGTTTTCAATAGTTCTCGAGACCTTATCTTGAAAAAAACCCAACACACAAAAAAAAAGGGCTAGTGGAGTGGCTCAAAGTGTAGGCCCTGAATTCAAACCCCAGCACCACAAAAAAAAAAAAAGAAAGTAGATATTATGAATGCTATTTGAGAGACAAGGTTAGGGGTGTGGTTCAAAGCACAATTTGGAGGCCCTGAAAATAGAGAGAGATGAGAAAACAGTCATAGAGTACTTAAGTATTTTTCCCACAGCCACAGAGGTAACAGAGCCTGTTGATGTGGAAAAGCAATCTTTTTTTTTGGCAGTACTGGGGTTTGAACTCAGGGCCTCACACTGGCTAGGCAGGCACTCTTTCCACTTGAGCTATTTGTTTATTGAAATTTATTTACTTTTTTGGCACAATGGAGTTTGAACTCAGGGCTTTGTGCTCTACCACTTGAGTCACACCTCCAGCCTGAAACTTAATTTACTTTAGATAATAACAACACTACCTTTTTTCTTTGCTGTACTGGACCTTGAACTCAGGACTTACACGTTGAGACACTCCACCAGCCCTTTTTGATGATGGGGTTTTTCAAGATAGGGTCTTGAAAATCGTTTTCCCGGGCTGGCTTTGCTATCAGCGCCCAGCACAGCAACACTATCTACAAACCAGTTTTCATTAGATTTACATATTTGTTTTGTGGTGCTGGGACCTCGCACTTGCCTGAGTTTGGATGCTGATAGGAAAGACCCTATCTTCAAGTGATGATCTAGTAATCGAATTTATAAATATGTAAATAATTGCAATTAAGCAGAATGCTCCAAGTCAAAACCAAAGTTATTTAATTTTGAAAAGGTGGCACAGATTACTTTTGGTTGGAAGGAAATGCTTATGTTGTAAACAAAAACAAGCATGTTTAGAAGTTACCGGTTAAACAGACCAAAGGTGGCTTAGACAAAGACAAAAGGTTTTTTAATGGTGCCTTGACAATTTTACTTAGAAAAACCAAAGACATTTTCCAAAACATAAATTTGACTTAAAGGTTGGCCCTTTAACTGAAATGCCAGGACTCACCTTATTTATAGTGTTAGGTAGTTGGCATTTTGCCATTCCTCATGCTTACCTGACATTTTAGAGGGTTAAATATTGTCACATAATCAATTATAACCAATTGTAATATGACCAACTGGAAGATTGCAGAGAGCACAGCGTGAGCAGGAGCAGCACCCACATCAACTGTCAGTAGTGTTCAAAGATTCTTGTATTTCTTCTTTGAAATGGCAAGATGCTTGATGGTGAGGGTGAATGAGCATGATAAACAACGCACTTACTCCCCGTATTACCCTACGCTGTTTCACCCTTTGAAAGCTGTGTTGGAGTTTTCCTATTGGCTTAGAATTTGAACCAATAAGGAAGGAGGAGCTCTTTATAACTATTCATGAAGGAAGGCTGGCATTCGAGAATGTGGAGTACAATTTGCTTTGTTCTTCAGTTGAGTCTGACTTTCAGAACTTGGGGGGGTATTGATATTTCTTTTATTGACATAGTAAGCACAATAGTTAAAAAAATGTTCAGCTTGGGTGGATGTGTTTGTGTCTTGAAATATTTTCTCCAGTATTAAGAAAACTTTCTTATTTTTCAGGTTAGAGTTGTGATACATTCTTAACAGATGTTAAAGGAAAATCAAGACTTTAATTGTAAATTTTTATTATGTTGAACATACTGCATACGAACAAAATTCGTATTAATTTGCTAGACTTGTTTGAAGTTTATAATTACTAGGGTTCTTTCTTTTAAAAAGTGGCATATATTACAGTGATTAGTCACTTTTAATGGCTGTTTAGAGGCCGAGTTAATGTTAGGTTCTCAGCAACAGCTATTTATATCTTGAGATTCTGGGTTATTACAGTTTTTAATTTTTGACATTTAATAAAATCCTTAATAAAGGTGTTTGTATAGTAATTTCTTATCTTTGGAACTCAAAAGAACTCTGAAGATTTTTTTTTTAAAGGGGGAGGGGGAATTTTTTTTCCTGTATTTTTCTCTGTATGGTGATTTCATCAGAAAATTTACCATCCTGAAATTTCTGCTTAAATATTACTGGTTTCTAGAAAAAAAAAAACCACTAGAATGTTCTCATTGCGCGTAGGTGTTCCAACTAGACTTAAATGAAGAAAAAATTCACTTGCACTTTCCCCCAATTTGCATTCAGTTTAAAGCAATTGCCATAACAACACTGACAAATAACGCGTCTTTTCCGTGCAAAGGAATACTTTGTCACGAGGTTAATTCATTTCTCCATTCTGAAAAATAAAAGGATTACAAAGTAACTGCAGAGAAGCGTGAGGGCACAGCGGAGGCAAAACACAGCGCCCCCCACCCCGGCCAACACCACCACCAATCTGAAAACCAGGGTGAACATTTCTTGCATCCCTAAAAGCACTGACCATGCCAGATCAGAACACAAGAAGAATAAACGGGGGTGGGGGGTGGGAGGTAGGGGGAGAGCAAGCTCAGGGGGCCGGGCAATGACACACACATCGTGGCTGGGAAGAGAGCACTGTTGCTTTCTTTCCCCGGGGCCCTGCAAACTCGGGCTGCACGGGGCAAAGGCTGCGCGCGTTTCTGGGCCTCGGCCAGCGGCAGCGCGGGATGGGACCCGGCAGCCGCCGTCCGCGTCGCAGCAGGCGCGGGCCCTTTGTGTCGGCCCCACTGCGGGGGTGATCTCGGTCCCCCGGCCGCCCCCGCTCCTCCCCGCCCCCACGCCGGCCAGGGCGACCTCGTGTTTGTTTTGCTTTTCGGGCCTCAGAGAGGCCCCAGAGCCCCCAAGAGCTGTGGTTCACCGAGCGGCTTATTCTGGCCGGGATCCCGGGCCCCGCGTTCAGCCGCGCGACCCTGCCTCGGAGAGGCTCGCTCCTCCCCGCGTCCCCTTGATCCGCAGCGGGGGTGGCGGGGACCCTGCACACTTTCGGGGAGCCCTGGGGGGTGGGTCCGAGGCGAGGGAGAAGTGGCTCGGGGCCCCCGGGCCGGCCCCACGGGGCGGGACCACGCGCCCTGCCCTGGCGGAGCCCGGGGACGAACCAGAGGTCGCGGCGCGGGGGAGGCGGAGGGCGGCGGTCCACCTGGCGACGTGGCAACCATTGCCGACTCCGCGAGACCCTCCCCACTCGGCCTGCCGCCCGCCCTCTCTCTCTCTCTCTCTTTCGCGGCTGCTCCGGTGAGGCTGCTCTTCCCCGGCCGGACGGAGAGCGGCAGTGTCGCCCCGGCCCGCGCACTCGCCGCGCGTCCCCCGCGGCCACAGCTGCTCGCCAGCCCCGCGCCTAGCGGAGCCGCGCCGAGAGCGCAGTGGCGGCGGCGGGAAAGGGCTGCGGACCCGTGCCGCTCGCTCACTCGCTCTCGACGACGCGGCCCCGGCCTCGACGCCCTCCGCCCGCTCCAGGAGCAGGTAAAGGCGGCGGGTGGGAGGCAGGCGGCGGGGTCGAAGTGAGGGTCCCGTAAGGAAGGAAGGGGTCCCGGGCCTCCGTGCCGGGAGCACAGGGCCCCAGGCAGCGGCGAGGGGCGCCGCGACCCAGAGCGCACCCCGCACGTCGGGGCGGCGCGGGCCGGGCCGCGGGACGGAAGAGAAGTGAGGCGTCGGCGGGAGGCGGGCCCTGGCGCGCAGCCCGAGGCCGGGCGAAGGCGGCCGCTCCTCGGCCTCCAGGCCTCGGACACACCCCTCCCTCCTGTTCCCGCCCGGACTTGACCTTGCGCCCCTCGGAGCGCGCCAGTGTTTCCCAGGCGGCGCCTGTTGGGAACTTGAGGCCACCTTCTCGAGCCTGGTGCGGCTTACTCACTCACTTCTTTAAACCAAAACACAGCCACGCACCCCACACGTTGGGATTGCGTGGGGATAATGATGGGGACGTTCCCTTCCCCCGGTATGTGTGCGTCTTTGACCTGTCCACGCCCCACCCCCAACCGCAACTTTGTGTCTCGCTGGGACCTCAGTGCGTTTCATGGAGTGAGTCATACGGGGACACAGTGTATCCCTCACGCTCTTTCGGTTCAACAGTTTTTTTTTTTTTTTTTAGCCCTCAAAGACAGCCTAGAGGATTTAAAAATAAAAAGGCAGATGCCAGATCAGAGGGCTGGCTTTAAAGAGCCTTGGTTTCAGCAACCGTCTTTAGGACGAGGACCTGATATTCGGGGCCCGGACAGGTTTGTACACATTCTCGCCATGCAGTGGTTGTAATGTCTCCATAGCACAGTTCTGACTGGAGGGCAGGATTGGCTGGTTTTTCTACTCGACATCTCTGAGCCAATCAGGAGGCGTATTTTGCCCGGAGACTGGTTAACTCAGTAAAGGCGGGGATTGGCTGAGAAAATCCTGGAGATGAACCTGGCCTCATAGAAAACATTAACTGATTTGCAGCTGCCTCTCTTCTCTTCCACCTTTAAAAAAAAAAAAAATGTTATGCTTTGGTAGAAGTATCAGCCTTTTCATCCCCTTTTGATTATTTCAGTGTTTTTTCCCCCCAAACCAGCTGTCTTGAATTCATTTTAAGCTCTCATTCTTCAGTTTCGCAGAGAGAATTGTTGCATTCTTTAAGAAATGTAAACATGGTTTTTGTGTTTTGATAAATATGGTTTAATTTTCCTTTCTGACATCGTTCCTTTTTAAAGGTCTGACATTAAATCAAGTTTCAGTTCTTAGGTCAATGCATTTATTATTTAAGTGCTAGGAGAGGATGCGGAGTAGGGGCTCCAGTGTGGAGATAGTGGGAAGGATATGAAAGAAATGGCTGCTCTTCTGCAGGGAGGTACAATTCGGTTAATGGAAAAAGACTAACCTGTAAAACAACAGACTCCTGCAGATCAGCATGCTGCAGTACTTAGGGAGTATCAGTTTATGCACCTGTTGGCTTTAGTTGCTTTGAAGGGGAGAGAACAGGAGTCCTCAACTTCATAGAAAGGATAGAACTGAGTTACGGTAAAGACATGTTTTTCCCTTCATTGAAGTATGTGAAAGGAGGCACAGTACAAAAGAGGGTAAATATCAGGGTAGTTGCATTTTTTAAAATACTAATTATTTTCCTTCTTTTAAAACCTCCCTTCATGATTATTTAAGATTATGCATATCTTTCAGTATACAAAGGGAACAATTTATTAGTCAATGTGAATTTTAGAAGATGGCTACCTATCTTCTTTGCCTGCCCTTCAGTTTTTATTAGATGCAAAATAACATGTTCTGAGAAGAATCTGATTTGCCATGTCACACAGTAAATCTCATCAGGTATCTATTAAATGCCTTTAAAAGTAGTTTATGTTGGGGATTAAAGAAAAAATTAAATGCATTTGTATACTTGCTGTACTAGTCTGTAGAGTAAGCCATGCATCATTATATTAATTGCCCTGATATTATAATTGTGTTGAATATATGTGTGTGTGTGTATATGTACATATGAATGTAGGTACTTTAAGTCTACCTTTGTAATTTAATTCTCACAACTCTGTGATTTGCATCATTTTCAGTACTATCTTATAGACAAGGAGACAGAGATAGAAGTTAAGAAAGTTGCTTAACTAGAGTTTATATTGAAGAGCTGGAGTCAGTCAAACCTATACCGTTGTGATCCAAAACCATTACCATGATACATTATTTCCATGGCCCTAGGCAACTAGCTACATTTTCAAAAATCCATTTAACTGGTCCTAAGTTCAAGCCCCAGTACCACCCCCCAAAAAAAAATCATTCAATCAAGGCTGGACACAATTAGAGCTACTCAGGAACAAAGCTGGATGAGCTACTGGAGACCTGGGTCAGGCCAAAAAGTTAATGAGACCCCCACCTCAACAAAAAAGCTCGGCAGTGGTGGGAGGGTCTATAATTTGTAGGAGGCCAAATGAGAACCCCTACCTGAAACATAGCCTAAAGCATAAAGGGTTAGAGACATGGCTGGGGGGGTGGGGGTAGAGCATCTGTCTACCAGGAATGAGGCTTTTGAGTTCAAACCACAGCATGCCAATAAGACAAAAAGACCCACCCAACCTATCTCAATTGTATCATTAAAAAAAAAAAAATCGCTCCAAGTAAACTGACTGATCATTGATTCTAGGATATATCTTAACTATAGAAATGTGTGGAAAATATGTCTCAAAATTAATGGAATAAGATATATTGGTTTATCACCTGAGCACTTTTCCTTCCATATTACCAGTAATTTATTTGCCTATTTAAAACCACATGTAAGTTTTAACATGTTCCTGAATTTTGATTTATTGAATTTACTTATGATGATCTTTATAACTACCTTATTAAAGTCTTTTTTTTTTGGCAGCACTGATGTTTGAACTGAGGGACTTATGCTTGTTAGGCAGGCGTGCACCCACTATTCTGCCAGCCCTTTTTTGTGATGGATTCTTTTGAGATAGGGTCTCAAGAACTACTTGTCTGAGCTGGCTTTGAACTGTGATCTTCCTGATCTCTGCCTCTTGAGTAGCTAGGATTACAGGCTCGAGCCACTGGTACTGGGTTACAAGTCTTAAAATGTGCTTATGGGGTAGATTTTTAGGCTCTTGCAAGGCCTTCTAAGACTCGGGGAGCATTTTACCTTCTTCCCTGCGGCTCACATCTGAGCATTGCCCCCCAGAAATTATTTTATTAGTATATCTAGATTGCAGGTAATCAGTTCTACTTGAACTCATGTAACTTTAAAACAGCATTTCATTAATTTCCATGGGGTTTAAACTAAGTCAGCTAAATTTTATGACTACTAGGTAGTGGAATTACTGAGTCAAAGAATCCACATTGTGAGGCTGGGGTTGTGGTTCAAGTGATATATCATCTGTTAGCAAGTACAAGGGCCTGAGTTCAAACCCCAGGGCTTAAAGAAGAAAGTCTACATTGCGGCACTTGCTGAAGTTCTGGTTCTGTGTGTACCAGTTTCACTAAAACTTGTTAGAACATGGACGGTCCATTGTTCTAAATATGGATTGTCCATTCATATCCTTGGATCACCTGTAAGCTGTTTTTCATAAAACCCTGAGCAAGCCTGAAACGGATGGTTATTGTCTTTTTTTTTTGTTTTTTGGTGAGACCAGCCTAGGCTGGTGTTGAACTCAAGGTTCCCTCGAAAGTGCTGGCATGCACCGCCATGGCCAGCATTAGTCAGTTCTCTATTTTTGTGCTACTGGGGACTGAACCCAGGACCATCCACATGCTAGGCAAGGGCTCTGCCACTGAGCTTCAGTCCCAGACCCTTGGTTATTTGTCATTGCTGGAAGCTTAAAAAATTCTTTTGTGCATCTGTCATTCTTTTCTTTTGTCATTGCTTCATATTTACAAATTGAGAAATTTCATTATGCTACAGATGTAATAATCAGTTTTTTTCTACTATTTCTCTTATCAAAGTTTATTTTTTTATAAGGTGTGAAACCACCTTAATTGTTTTACAAATTATCTTAACTCTATTATATCTGATTTTTTTGTTTTATTTCTGGTTTTAGAAACCCATTTAAGTGTTGAGATATAGTTAGGACTATTTCTGGGCTGTGGACTTTTCATTGTAGTTCTTCAATCTTCTATCGGACTTTGTAGCTATACCATTTAACTTTATTACTTTTTTTTTTTGGCGGCATTGTGATTTGAACTCAGGCCTCACACTTTTGAGGAAGCACTCTCACCCACCATTCCTTTTTTTGTGGTGGGTTTTTTTGAGATAGGGTCTTGCCTCTGTGTAGTTAGGCACCTGGCTTATTATGTTACTTTCAAAATATGTTTTAGTATTTAGTAAGTTGAAATTCCCCATATGTCTTTTTTTTGTTGTTTTCTAACACATTTAACAAGTGCTGTCTGTTAATTAAATTTAAGAATTAGCTTGGGAGACTGACATGGGTAGTATTTAATTTTTCTGCTTCAAAGCAGGGCATTAAAAAGAATTCCTTTCTCTTGAATCTGTTGCTTCTTCTGACTGTAGTGTCTTCCTGCCCACCTCCCCTGAGCTCTGCTAACCTACAACTTCAAGATGCAAGGTGTGCTTGTAGAGAGTCCTTTCCCTTCCTTCCTGTGATGCACTTATCACTGCATTGGGTCACCTCCTTCACCAAGTAGTTGCTTCTTGAAGGCTGGTAACTCAGTCTTACTCACTTTTTTTTCTTTGCCTATCACCAGTCCCAGCACTCTACAGGAATGTGGAGATTAAATACATTTTGGCATGAATAACACATTTTATTTCCAAAAATATTTCCTGTAGTCACCTTGTATCTTGTATATGCTGATACTTCTGTAATCTTCACCCAAAGGTCTTTTCTGATAACTGGATTCATACATTTTCATGACATGTTCATTTTGGGTGTTCTCTCAGGCACCTCAGACTTAGCATATCCCAAGCCATACCCTATCCTTAAACCCAAAAAGTAAAACAAACTGCCTCTTTTCTGTCTCGTGTCTAGGGGAAGATTAAATTAGGTAGTACATGTGTGGTACAAATTCAGTTACTAGTATGCAGAAATATTATCAGCAAACAGTGTTTTCAGAAGCTTGGTTCTTGTGTTCCAGTGGAAGAATCCAAGCAGGACATGTGGATGGGGTGAGATAGGAGAGCTTTATTGAGGGAAGGGGAGTCACCTGTCCTATCAGGTGCGGGAAGAGAAGAAGGGCTGGGTCTTTTGGTAGATTGTTTTTATATCACCTTGAACTTGGAGGTGGGGAGAGACTATGTCATCACCTGAGGAGCTCTTGAGTTAAGAGGGGGAGCAGTTCCAGACTATGCCTAACCTAGCTGCCTCAGAAACATGGATTAGTCCTTATCTTTTCTTTTCCTCTCACATTCTGAGAGTTGACTGAGCCCTATAGGATTCTTTTTAAATAATCTCTTGAATACATTTCTTTTCTTTATCATGAAAGATACTACTTCTCCATGGTCAGCATCATCTCTCACCTAGCCTGCTGCAGCCAACCTCTAATCCGTCATCACTGCTACCAGGGTTGTTTTCCAGTCCATTTTTTGTTTTTGTAGTAGGCAGAGTGGTCTCTTTAACACTTGGGAGAAAGTAACTCTTCTGCTTAAAATCTCCTTATTGTGGCTGTTCATTGCCTGCACTATGAAGTCCGAACTTGGGTGGGCTGTTAGGATCCTCATGATCTGACTTCTGATTAAGTCCATCCCGCTGTCCCTTTTGGCCTTGGCCCTCAGTGTGCTAGTCCTAGTCAGTTACTTGCGTTTTTCCCTTAAGATGCCAAGTTCGTTAAATCTAGGCCTGAGCACAGAAGCTTGAGTATCTCCACTTTTGGTAAGTCTTGCTTGTCTTTGAGGCCATGGTGTGGGTGACACCTCTGTGAGAAGGCCTCTCTGATACAAGCTTCCTTACACAAGCCTGTTTGTCTCCCTAGCACTTTGTGTTCTCGTATCACACCATAATTGCTTGTTTATTGTCACCACACCATGTACTGCCTAGGGTATAACAAAGGAAAGAGGTAAATTGAGTATCTTAGAAAAAATGATGTGATTCGCAGAGTCTATTCAAAAGGGAATTAAACAGTAATTTGAGGTAGAGAAATTTACTTGGCAGTAATTTACTTCCAGAGAAAGGAGACATTGTATCTGATAGATGAAAATTTCTAAGTCAGGAAAGTCACAGTAGACTCCTTTATAGACTGAATGAGAAACACACTTTGATATTTCATTTCCATCTGTTCTGTTTTCCTGTTAATTAGTTAAAACTTTTTAGAGTGTAAGTGCCAGAAATGTCCTATGGGGGAAAAGTTCATATGAACATGCAACAGATATTATATGGTAGAGATGGCCATGAAGAGGTAGTAGGACCTTAACCCTGGTTGGTCTCTTCCTGTACTTATAGTATGTGCATGTGGACTTTATCCATCTGACTGTAGATGCAGGGACCTGGGTCCTGCCAGTACAGGCTTGTCTACTTGGAGCCTCATGTTGAGGGCTTTGGATAGATTTGGTCACATGTCCATCTCTTGACCAATTCCTGCAGCTGAAACGATGAGTAGCTGTGTTTAGTAGGTCATGTGATGTCACTAATACAGCCAGGACTCTTTTAGCAGAAAACTGACCCCTGATGGGGGAAGGAGAAAGAGTTCTGGGCAGACAAACAGAATACCCACTATAATTTTTAACCACTCTTCTGATTACGAATTTATGTTTGTAGGTACTTATTTGTGGGAAAGAGATGTCCTATATTATGGATCTGAGCATTCCAGGTACTGAAATGGTAAGTCCCATGTGTTATTTTATTTATTTATCATTGTTGTGCTGGGTACATTGTGGCATTTACAAAAGTTCTTACAGTATGTCAAACATATCATACTTGAATTTGCCCCAAAGTCCTATATTTTAAAGAACTAAATTAGTTTTTTGGTTTGTGCTAGCCTCTTGTTTGCTAGCTAACACGTATGTGTGAGATGTTTATAGCCTAGGAGTCTAAACAAATACTCTCATACACAGGTGCTAAGATAAAGGTATGCATAGGGTGCAGCAGGAGTCTAAGTCAAACTTTGGGAGAGTAGACAACCTTCCTGAGGGAAAGTTAATTGAGCCAGGAAGTATGGCTTTGAGGAGCGAGTTGGAGGGACTTCTGGGCAGAGCACAGAAATGTGACACTGGCCTACCTCAGTAGGTAAGCAAATAATTAGAGGGGAAATAAGAGGAAAGGAGGCTCCTAGGTAAGGTAAGGGACTGGGCCACAGAAGCTCTGAATGCATTCCCCAGGAGGTGGGGCTTGGTAGAAAGCTACAGAGTTACCGAAGGCTTGTAAATCGGACTTTTCAGGCTTGACGTGCTCATAGAATGTTCCCGTGGCTGTGTCTGTCAGGTGGTCAGCTACACTAGAGTTTGGGAGAGAATTCCTTGCTGGACTCAAAGGTGTTGGCATCATGTGTATGGATGGACTTAGAAAAATGCGAATGGAGCAAAAGGCTGGGGACAGAACCCAGACAGAGCAGTGACATGGAAAGTAAGCAGAAGAGAAGGAATTCGTGAAGTTAAGAACGACTAGTAGAGTAGTCCCTTCATGTCTACGGGAGGTCATTTCAAGACACCAAGTGGGGTCCTGAAACTGCAGGTAGTACTGAACTCTGTAGATACTGTGTTTTTTCCCATATGTATGTACCTATTATATAATATAACTTACAAATTAGGCACAGTGAAAGACTAACAAACATAGCTAATAACAAATAGATCAGTTGTAACAATGTACTGTAATAAAAGTTATGTGACTGTAGTCTCTTAAAATATCTTGGTCTTTTTTTTTTGGCTGCACTGGGGTTTGAACTCATGGCTTTGTACTTGGGAGGAAGGTGCTACCACCTCCAAGCCCTACGTACTCCCCCATCAACTTGTGATGATATGAAATGATACAAAGCCTATGTGATGAGATGAAGCGAGGTAAATGATGTCAGCATTCTGATGACGTATTGGCTACCACTGCCCTTCTCTGGAATCCTGGAGAGCCATCTGAGTAGCGTGATGAAGCCTCGTGCCATCTGCTCCTTCCTCCACAATGGGAATCATCCTTTTGTCCAGCATATCCACTCTGTAAATATACTCCCTATCCATTGGTCCGTAGCTATCAGATCCACTATCAAGGCATCACAGTGCTTGTGTTATGAAGGAAATCTTCATAATGGCACCCAATTTAGAACTTACGAATTGTTTACTTCTGAGCATTCCACTTAATATAACTGAAGCTATAGAAAGTAAAATGGAGGATAAGAAGGACTATCATAGATGTTAGGGGTGGAGGGGAGATTGTTTTAGGCCAAGGAGTCAAGAGGAAGTAGTTGCTGAAACAACAAATGTGACTATTTTAAGAAACCAAGGAAGTGCTAGGAGTTTGGTTAGTGTGAGTCAAGATGTCCCCTGATGATTATCAGCTCTAGGTACACTGAGGAAACAAATGGTCCGCACAGTTCTTCCAATGCAGCGAGCCTCTTAGAATTTGTAAAGATGTGAAGGAAGGGATGGAGGGAGGCTTTTGGTGAGTAGTGGTTGGGAGGAAGGTGGCTGTGTAAGTGGAACTGTCATGATATATGCATAGGCACTGGGGAGTACAGAGTATCTAGTGATGTGGAAAGGCAGCGCAGCTATCTGTCTACTTTGGTCCTGTGTCGGTGAGAATGCAGCAAAAGCGACAGCAAAGCTTCTTAGGAAAGGAATACACTTTCGGTAGACTGAAAATGGGTCTCTAAGGACAGCTATTTTTAACCTCTTACCTCAGCACAAGTTTTTATTGTAGTGGAAGGGGCTTGAGCCATTAAATCCCTCCCTAGGACCAGCCCTGGAGGCTGAAGTCGGGGTTAAGTAGGCTAGGGTTGGTCTACAGAGTTACACCTGACCCCTAGGGTATGGTTTACAGGCCTGAATCTTTTGTTAAGTTAAATGTCTGTTGTTCCCTGACACAGTGGCTCACACCTGTAATCCTAGGTATTTGGGAGGTTGAGAGCCAGAGGATCGAGGCTAGCTCCAGCAAATAGTTGAAGAGACCCCCATCTTCAAAATAACAAGACCAAAATGGACTGGAGGTGTGGCTCAAGCAGTAGAGTGCCTGCTTGGCAAGTGTGAAGCTCTGAGTTCAAACCTTGGTCCCATCATCAAAAAAGATCTATTGTTTCAGGAACTGATGTCAACCCACCTTAGGGTGTGTGGGAGACTTGAAAACATCCTGTGAGGCATGCCTGAGGCCCTGGACTCAATCTCCAGTACTGGATAAAAAGACAGAATAAGTGCTTGGTTCTTTCCTTTTCATAACCATTTTCAGAGTGTAATAGTCACCTCCAGTGGTGGCAAATTAGGTGTTTCTTTTTCTTTTATGGCTTTCTCTTTGGAATGCCTTATATATTTATGTAATAAATATTCTGTTTTGGTTTTTATTTCATTTAAGTTCATAATTTGATGCGTTTGCCTTTACAATATAACATCTTTCATTTTACAGTAAGAAGACGTTATGTGGGATCACAGGAAGTACTGTTCCATTTGTGGATACCAGCCGTGGCCATACCGAGTACGTTGATTACATCAATGCCAGACACGTGGTAAGTATTATTAAAATTGCTGGTTGTAAATATTTTGCACATAGGTTTTCAAACTTTCATTTATATATTTGAATGATTAAAACACAAATCTTTTATGGGAAGGAGAATAAGATTTTGTTTGTAGAATTTCTAAAGAGGTGACAGTGTGTAAAACATGCAGAATCTGAACACATGAGTGTTTCACTGTGTCTATCCCAGAAAGCTCACTTTTTTTTTTTTTTTTTGCGGTACTGGGGTTTGAACTCAGGGCCTAAACTTTGAGCCACTTCACCAGCCCTACTTTTGTGTTGGTTTTTTCGAGATAGGGTCTTGAGAACTATTTGTCTGGGCTGGCTTCGAACTGTGATCCTCCCTGTCTCTGCCTCCTGAGTAGCTAGGATTACAGGTGTGAGCTGCTGGCTCTGGCTGAAAGCTTACTTCTTGCTGTTTCATAATTTGTGTATTGCTAGCAACTGACAGGTAGTACTTTTGTAATAGTTTTGTGTATGAAATTTTGCTGAGAGCTAGACTGGCATTTGTTACCATCCATGTACTCAAGGACTGTGGGTAGTTGTGGAGGTAAACATGTACAGATGAAATGAAAAACCATTTCCAGTGTGGACGCCCAGGGAGGTCACTGCCTCCAGACTCTGTCCACGTGGCTTAGGGGAGCATAGAGCTCTGCCTGTGACATGCAGTGCCTGTCCACCATGTTGGAGAAGATACCAGGCCTTGTGTCTGCACCGGCACTTTCCTACAGCTTCCCAGAGTCTGGCAGGACAATGACTAAGGAGACAAACCATGTAGGAAACATGTCTAGTGAAAACAAAATTAAGTCACTAAAACCAACAATGGAAGGCTCTGAAATACGGAAGCAAGGTGAGAACTGCAGGAATTAGTGAAGGATTGTGGGAAATATTGAAGGATTATAGAGGAGTATACCTTCCTGACATTTTTTTAGACAAAAACTGCATGATGTTCAGCAACTGATGTTTACCTTTACTGGCATGTCTCAGAGTTCTGTCTGGTTTCTTCTAATCGCTGCATAATATTTCAAAGGGTTATTTTGCCGTAATTTAACCATTCTCTTTTCCATTAAAATTTAGGGTATTTTAAATTATCGATTGCAATAGTTATGATATATGGATACATTTTAAGATGATTGGTTATATTTTGTATAAATACTGTCTTTTTTGGTGACACACTCTTGGTACCTCCATGAGATTTAATGTCTACCTTAACCTTTTCATATAGTATACTTGAAGTCATCTGTTAGGTAACTTACTCCCAGTAAGATTGGTTGTGTTTGTTCTTGGTAGTATTTGTTTCTAAGAGAGATGTTTTCTGATCTTGTCTGGGATCATGCCATGCTTGGGTTTTGTAGGTTTCCTATATATTAAGGAATTAATATACTTGGACATTAGTATCAATTTGCTTTTTGTTTTTTTTGGTGGTACTAGGGTTTGAATTTGTGCCTTGGCACTTGCTAGGAGGTGCCTTATCATTTGAGGCACACCTCCAGCCTTACTATCAATTTTCTTAAGCCTGTTTTTTCCTAGCTGGCTCAGAGTATTAAAAAGACTTTTTTTTTGATTCTTATTTATTTATTTATTTATTGTGGTGCTGGGGATTGAGTACTGGGCCTCACACATGCTAGGCAACTGCTCTACTTCTGAGCTATAAGCCCAGCTCTGAAGATCTTTCACGCCTTTCTTGATTGTTGTAGAATCAACAACAGGCTCATGCCTGCGATCCCAGTTACTCAGGAGGTGAAGATCAGGAGGATGTTAGTTTAAGGTCAGCCCTGGCAAAAAGTTATCATGACCCTATCTCAATCAATAGCTGAGCATGATGGCATGTGTGCCTGTCATCCTAGCTACACTGGAAACATAATAGGAGGATTTCAGTCCAGGTTGGCCCAGGCAAAAAAGGGAGACTCTATCCTCAAAATAACTAAAAGCAGAATGGGCTTTTTGGGACTATGGCTTAACAGGTAGAATGCCTCCCTAGCAAGTTCAAGGCCCAGAGTTCAGTGCCCAGTATCAGCAAGAAATATATTATTTTCTGGATATTACTGCATAGTGCTAAGTTATTTAAAGTTACTTATACTACATGTAACAGTTATTCATAAAATACCATGGGGTTTTTGTGTGTGTGTGTGTTGATGTAATTTTTTAGTGGGAAGTATTTGCTTGTTTTGTTTTTGGTGGTACAGGGGTTTGAACTTAGGGCCTCACACTTGCTAGGCAGGTGCTCTGTCACTTGAGCCGCTGTACCAGCCTTGTTTTGTGTTGGATATTTTTGAGATAGGGTCTCGTGAACTATTTGCCAGGGCTGGCCTAGAACCTCAATCTTCCTGATCTCTGCCTCCTAAGAGTTGAGATTACAGGCATGAACCACTAGCACCTGGCTGGGAAGGTTGCTTTTTAAAGTGTTGTTTATTGGTAAGTCCATGATAATTGCACTACTGACCATTGCCATACCATTGTAGAGTTTGTGTTCACTCTACTGTTATTTATAGATTTTTATGGTCACTCTTTTTTTGTTGTTGTTAGTGTTTAAAAACATATATCCTTATCTGTTAAAAAAGCTGAAGTTGATTAGACTTCTCACCATGCTGGAATATTATGATGATAATTGGGGAGCAAGTGTTTATCGGTTAGGGGTAGAAGGTTTTAGAAAATGTGTATAAGGAATTTATGTTTCCAGAATTATTGTCAATAATTATTTGTTTTTAGGTTATTTGAGCCTTTCACATTTCTCTGTAATACATTAAACTTTATCCATCTTTATTTCCCATATCCTTTTAGAATATATTCTTATTTAGGTCAGGTCTGTATGTGAAGAAACTATACAAGTTTGACTAAGCCTACATTTTAATAATGAGGCTGTCATTATGGAAAAAGGGTGAAAGATACAATATCTGATGACAGAAGAGTTAAACATGGGTGTCACTTACACTAGGATAAGTGGGACTGAAATAAGTTGGAGCTAGAAAGTAAAACTGGTAATTGGGAGATAGTTTCCACTCTGTTATTTATTTATTATCTGCAGTCCTGGGTTTGAACCCAGGGCCTCATGAATGCTAGGCAAGCAGGGAACCTCTTGAGCCACACCCTAGCCTTCTGTATATTTTTATATATCAGAATTTCTTCACCATATTAAGCATTGGACACTCAGACCACTTACATGTTTAGATCTTTTCCCATATAAATACATTTGATTTTAGCCAAAAGGTGGAGAAGCGATATCTTTTTCATGCAAGCATACACAAAGAAAGAAAAGAGTGAGAGTGATGTATTTTTACAAGTTGGGTGAAGTATAGAGGGAAGCCAACATCACCTTTAATTTATGGTAAGTGACTACTTTTTCCTGATTATGGAAAAATGTTGAAATATTTGGAAAATACAAAGAGTAATATATAAGAAAATATTTTATGAAAAATAAAATCACCTATTATCCTTTATCCAGAGTTTTCCTTTCCAGTCTATTCTCCTTCAGCTCCACTTGGATTATATTTAGTCTGTGTTTTGCTTTCTATTCTAATATTGTTGTTAAAAAAAACTATTAAATATTACCAGAAACATAGTCTTTCCCTTCTTCCCTCCCTCCTTCTCTTTCTTTTTGAGATGGGGTCTTGCTGTGCTGGCAGGTTGGCCTCAAATTCCTGGCCTCAAGTGATCTTCCTGCCTCAGCTTCCCCAACATTAGGGACTAGTGTTGCACCCTGCCATGCCCTACTCAAAACATAGTCTTTAATGGCTTCCTGAAAATCCATGTTATGGATCTAAAGAGATACAGTTCTGAGTTGAGTCTAACAAACCTGGTTCAGCTTAATAATAAAAGCAACTCAATTTTTTTTTTTTTTTTTTTTTTGCGGTACTGGGGTTACACCTCGAGACACTGTGCCAGGCCTTTTTTGTGATGGGTTTTTTTTCTGACATAAGGCCTTGTGAACTATTTGCTTGGGCTAGCTTTGAACCTCGATCCTCCTGATCTCTGCCTACTCAGGGAGTAGCTAGGATTACAGGCAGAGCCACTGGCACCCGGCTAGCAACTCAAGTTTAAAGTGAGCAAATAATCTGAATAAATGCTTCTTTAAAGAAGATTCACAAATGCCTATGCACATGTAATGATGTTCAATAACATTACTCATTTGGGAAATGCAAATCAAACCCAGCTAGGTCAAAGTAGATCCATCAAACTAGAATGGTCATGATAAAAGAAGGGTTGTAGCAGGTATTGGTGAGGATGTCATAAAATTGGAGCCCTTGTTATTGCTTGTGGAAGTTGAAATTGATGAACCTAAAAAAAAAAAAAAGAAAGAAATTGATGCACCTGCTTTGAAAAACAGTCCGATAGTTCCTCGAAGGGTTTAACATATTTAGCAAATCATCTAGCAATTTCACTTTTAGGTATATAGCTAATATGTATGTAACCACATGACCATGCAAAACTCATGCACAAATGTTTATAGCAACATTAGTCATTATAGTCATTATAGCCAGATTTAAAGTGGATACCTGGATTTCCATCAACTGGTGAATAGATAAATAAAATGTGATATACTTGTGGTATAGGAATGAAGGATATAAATAAAATGTGATATACTTGTGGTATAAGGAATGAAGTAATGATACAGGATACAACTTTGAAAAATGAACAGGTTTACAGGTGAACTTAGAAACAATAAGTGAAAGCAGTCAGTCAGAAAAGGCGACATTGTGTGATTCCACTTATATAAGTGTTCAGACTAGGCAAGCCTACGGACACAGAAAGCAGATTTGTGGTTGCCAGGGATTAGAGGAGAGAGTAGAATTGAGTGCTAATGGGTATAGATTTTTTTTGGGGAGGAGGTGATAGAAATGTTCTGGAGTTAGGTTGTGGTGATACTTGTATAACTGTAAATACATTGAAAGCCACAGAATTGTGTACTTCAAGTGGTATATTTTGGGTTGAATGAGTTATTGTTCTAATGCTAGCCTAGTGTGCTTGAGTCCCTGGGTTTAATCCCTAGCATCA